GAGAAGCTGTGGCTGCCCCATCCCTGGAGGTGTTCAAGGCCAGGTTGGACGGGGCTCTGAGCAAGCTGGGCTGGTGGGAGGTGTCCCTGCCCAGGGCAGGGGGGGGACTCGATGGCCTTTAAGGCCCCTCCCAACTCTAACCATTCCGTGATTCTACGCCTCGGGAGCGAATCCTTACCTGACACCAGCCACTGCCCGCTGGGAGAAATGCTGAGGCAACGCACCAGGCTGGTGTGCCCACGGTAGACCTGGGGAGGGAGACAGGAGGTGGGTGAGGGCCCCACACAGCCCAGCGGCTCCTCTGTGGGGACCTCCCCACACTGCCCCGGGTTCCTCAAGGAGGGAGAGGGGACCAGGGATCGTTTATGTCTAGAGGAAAGCAGAGGTCCGTGCGCCACCGACCCTCCTGCGTGACCAGACCTGGGGTCCCTGCTCTTTTCCTGGGGCACATCCCCGGCTTAGCCCACCTGCGACAGAGCTGATCCCAGTTCCTGCCTGCTGCAGGCAGGACCCCGCTGCTGCCTGGCTCTGCCCACCGCAGGCTGCAGGGTAGGTCCTCTCCCTCTGGGGCAAGCGAGCTGTGCCCAGAACAGCCCTTACAGGTGCATGGGCATGCAGGGTCTCACCAGGACAGGCCTGGGCACAGCCCAGTGCCACGGGCACGCACAGCATCACCCCCAGCTCCGCGCATCCGCTCACCAGGGCCTGGGTGGTCGGGAAGGGCTGTAGGTCCCGCGGCTTCGGCAGCTTGGGGATCAGGTCCTCAGGGTCCACGTTGACCTGAGAGAGGCAGGCGGTGAGACAGAACCAGGCTGCACCTTGGCCCCCAGGCATCCCCCCAGCACCGGTGCTGGTGCCCTGCATGCACGGGCTGTACGGCCCCGCAGGCTCCAGCTGGAAAGTGCAGCCCTATTCCAGCTCAGGAGCTCTGCGGCAATGTGGGAACGGCATTGCGGGTAGGTGAGGGGCAAGAAGCCTTCAGGAGCAGCAGTTTGTGCCCCAGAGCATCAGTCCCCTGACCAGCTGGGTGGCATCGGGACGCACACAGGAGCAGGCAGAGGCTGGTTTGAAATGTCCCCAGGACACCTGGGTGGGGGGTGGTGGGATGGGAGAAGCCCTCACCCGCATTTTCCTCTGGCGCGGGCAGAGGTAGAGGTCCAGGCAGCGCTCGAGGCGTTCGTGGATGAAGCGGGAGTAGGCAGGTACTGCCCGCAGGCACCGGTACTGCTGGG